CGTGTCGATTATATGTGTGGGGTTGTGGTTGTGTTTTTGCGTGTGTGTTGTTGACAGGACATGGTTAGCCCATGTGGTGAAGGTTAGGGCATCTGTGCCGCCTTTCTTTGTTTGTGTTTGTCCATGTGGTCACGGTCACAGCTTTTTGTGACCGTGGTCTCGCGTGGACAGGGTATTCGGAGTCTCCCGTGGTATCTTGGGGATCAGTGACTCAAAGAAATCAGGACACTCTAAATTTGTCACTGCAGCATAACCCACATAATGAAAGAATACAAGCTCCCTAGCATACACTCTCCTGTCTTGCCTTTGCTCTGACTGCACTCTGCATGTACATTTCCTTCTTTAAACACACACGCACATACACTCATGTTGACAAGTGTTAACTGGGTAATATGGAAATCAGAAGGCGATGAGCACATGTTTAAATGAGTCAGTGTTTTCAGTCATCAGCCTTTGCATGGGTGTTTTCTCTGCAGATTGTGTAGCCTCCGCTCAGGAGTATTCAGTTTGGATTATGTTTGTGGTTTACTGAGGCAGATGAGGGAATACCTCCAGCTACCATATCTGAGTTGGTGGAGAAAAGGATTTGCTTGTCCTCAGGCTACTGTCAGGGTTGCGGGGTAGTTTAAACCCAGCTAAACTAGCTTAACACCCATGTATGTCTGAGAAAAAGCTCTTTATGCTTTATAAGATTGGTGTAAATGAGTTTCATCAAATTAGGGGGCATACAGGAAATGTAAGCATAAATCTAATCTGTCTGTGATTACCTTTGTTTCTATTGACAGTTTCTCAAAAATATCTAGCTGATTATATTTTGGATTCTCCACCTTAATTGCACTACATTCAGGGTTCGTACGGGTGCTGGAAATCCTTGAAAATGCTTGAAATTGTGCGAGGTGTTTTCAAGGTTTGAAAAGTGCTTTAATTTTGAGAATGGTGCTTGAATTTGGGATAAAGTGCTTGAAAATGTAAATGCTTTACTTCGCTTTTTAGATTAAAAGAAAATAAAGAAGTCTGAGCGAGCTTAATTGCTTCGCTTTTACATAAAACAGCTCCGCTGCGGCCTTCCCGTGCTATGTGCGTGACCGGCAAGTGTTTTTGTTACATGTGACCTGGGTATTCTGATGAGAGTGATAGATGACTGTGTGCCAGGAGGTTGCAGTTTCAACGAGCGTTGGCTAGCAGAAGACAAATACAAGCCATGGCTAAGACGAGGGTCAAGCCCACGAGTAGCCTCCTGCAAAGTTTGCAAAAAATAACGATGCGAGAGTCTGCGCTGACGAGCCACATGAAAGGTACGCCGTAGTAGAGCATTTTAGATTAGGCTAACGTTGCATGTTACGTTTGTTTAAGCTAACGTTAGCGAGCTGAATAGCGAAGTCGATTGAGGGATAATAATAATTGCAGGGGATAATCATTTCAGAGGAGCGTACCTATGTTAATATGTGCGTTACAGTCGCCATCGTGTGGTGTTCAGAGGATGAAGCGGATGAAGCACTCAAGGCATTTCGTGTTATAGTCACAAAATATAATCTATTGATTCGACACAGAGTGATTTTAAAAGCAATGTATTTCTACTGGTAGTAGCCTATGTTTCGTGCCTAAACCAAATGTGGCTTGCTCTCTCGAAATCAGTCACATTGACCCGAAGACACATTTTTGTTTGTATTACTGGTCTGGGGGAAGCTCGCGAGTGTGTGTGTGTGTTTGTGTATTTTTGCGTTTGTGTGTATTGTGTTTGTGTACCGGGGAAACACTCACGAGAAACACCGGCTTTTGTTATGCTTGCTGTGAAGCTGGTAAAGGAGCAGCTAGTTTGAAGGACTTTGTATACTGCAGGGTAGCTGGTGGATTTACTCCAGGTGGAACTAAAGTCTGATTCAACACTTGATTAGATTTCACATCATTCATCCAGATCTGTAAAGTAACTAAAGGTATTAAATACATGTAGTGGAGTAAAAGTACACCATTTACCTCTTATGTTCACTTCCAACCTAAAAGTACCTCAAAAATAGTAATCAATAATGTATTGAAAAGTTATTTGGCTGATTGTTTTATATTGGCTCAGCCAGGTTATATGGGAGGCCCAGTCTACGTACAGATCACTCATTTTGAAATATTAAACTTAGTTTTCTTTTCTTTAATTTTTCATCCTCAAGTAGAATGCTATCATGAAACACACATTTGGTTGTTTATAGCATAAAGAACATCTGATTTAATGTGAGGTAGGGAAATAATCATTTGAGTATAAGTATGTGTATATAAATATGTAATTTACAACAGCTGTAAGATGCTTGAAAAGCTTGAAAATGCACCTTGAAAATGCTTGAAAAGTGCTTGAATTTGACTTTGGAAAGGTGTAAGAACCCTGTACATTATTGCCACGTGCTATTGCTACAATGGGCTCAGAACATATCTGACTACATACCAGATTTCCTAGAAAATCTTAAAACAATCCTATGACATCATAGATTCCAGCATATGATGCATCTTGAGAAAATGGAGCAATATTTTGTTAGGTTTTTTTTCCAAGCCAGTCCTTGCAAATTAATATATTTGAGTTTGGGAGTGTTGGTTGTCGCCTTGGGCTCCGAGAACTCTGTCATTGATTTCGGTTGTTAAAATTTGGGCCAACTGAAACGCAGCAACTACAGTAATAGTTGAGCTCTAAAAGAATTCCAACACGGCCCTCTTGATAGCCTCTTAAAACTTGTTTTGAAATCTGAAGTGTTTCTCTATAACCTTAAATATTTATGACTAAGTGAGCAACAATTTCAACTACCATTTATTAAGAATAAAACCTTCATCTTCAGCTAATCTGCTCATTAGATGACTCGTCCTTACAAACATTTCCAAAGTTCTATCTTTCAGCCTCAGTAAGAGGTTGAAAGAGGAAATATTTATTTGGCCTTTTTAAGGTGTTATGTCCTCATCATTTACTAATCACCTCCATGAAACATATGAGATAACACAATTTGAAAACTGGAACAAACTAACCAGGTTCTAACTTCTCTTGGAGAAATTACCCTGATACATTCTTATTTCTCTGCAAACCAAAATATAGTGTCCATTTGAAAAGTGGGGGAAAAAATATGATTTCAGTGTCTTATCATACATTTGACAAATAAAGACTTTGTTACTTATTTGACTTGGTGTTTACTTCCAACCCTTTCAACGCCCATTGTTGTTGTTGCCATGTTGTTTCCTTTGTTTATCCTTATTCACTAATCCAGTTTATTTGGGTGTTCCTCAGGGATCAAATTAAGGGCCGCTATTATTATTATTTTTTGGTTCAGCGCTAAATTATTCTAGGTATGCATGCTGCAAAGCTCCCATCTGCATCTGATTCCCTTTTCACTGAGCTTGCTCGCACATCTCCTTTATGTTCAGCATATGAATGCGCTGCACTGTCAGAAGCCATTGTTTTGATTGGTAAGGAAATCTTGTTGCATGACCGGGTTCCATTGTATTATCAGGCATATTGTACCTCTGCAAATCACACCGAATCTGACATGATAAGGGGAAAGTGCATGTCCGTGTTTATGAAAGAGAGGGGAAACATGAGAGATCGGGGACCGAGGGTCATGATGCGGAGGCGAGAGGTGGGGTGAGGAGGCATATGGCAGTTGTTAGAAAATAGTGAGTGAGATGGGATTGGGAACCTTCAGAAAAGTGCTGAAGGGCTCAGAGGTAAAAGTGTGAGGGAACGAGAGAGGGAGTGTATGGGAAAAAGGGGGGGAGTGATACAAATTTGGAGAGGACAAGTGAAAAGGAGAGATGTAAATGGTAGGAGGTGAGGAAAAGGGAGTGAGGGAAAAAGTGAGAGACGGGGAACGGGAGAGAGAAAATGCTAGAGGGCTGGTATTTAATGTGATAAATGAGTTGTGACAGTCCGCCTCTAACCCCCTTCCAACCAGCGAGGAGGAGGAACACAGAAATAGAAAGCATTATGGGTAAAAGGACATATACAGTATTATATATGTATATAGAAAGAAGGAGGCGCGTACATACTGTAAGAGGAGGCAAGGTAGAGGAGAATCTGTGCAGGCTAAAGGACATTCATAGACAGAATTATAGATGTACAAAGTGAAGGAGGCGAGTGGGGATGCATACATATGGAGGGAAAAGCAGAGAGTGAAGCAAAGCAATTTGGGTAAAGGACATACAACATTATAGAGAGGGAATAAAGGAGAGAGGTAATGGCAGAAGAAGGAGGGGGTGTGCTTTGCAGTATTGGGTTAATGATCCACTGTACGAGAGTCTTTGTGGGAGAAAAATGAACGCAAGAGGCAGGATGGAAAAAATGTAAATGTTTTTGCCTCTCATCTCTTGTAAGGGTGACATGTCTTCAAGGGACAGCTAATTACAACTTGTCATCACACAGCGTGGGACAATAGCTGAAGCTTTTTAACTCATCGTAGTCGGTCAGTCTGTAGGCCAACTGTAGTGGACTTCTAGAGGGAGAGAGTAGACAATGACAACCACTGTAGTTTTGGTTGTGGATTGGAAGCCTGTGTGATGACTCATAGGGAGGAATGAAGAAGGGAGAAACAGAGAGAGGGAGGGAGAGTTTTGAAGAACTAAAAGTCAAGAGCTGGAAGAAAAGCAGTGTGAGAAACCCTATGGCTGAAGTTTCCTGTTTGATCTCCCAGCTCCTGAGTCAGCGTTAACCACGTCCTTCTTCTTTCTTTCTTCTTCTCCAACAACTCTGTTCTGACTCTCTCTTCTCTGAGACACCTCCGCCTTGCCACGCCGCTCTTCACTCGGCGGCGGCAGTTAATGGCCGCGAGCCAACGTGTGATCAAAGATGGCATTTCATTTCTGCTGGGGGAATGCAGTTTTCGAACAATTAACCATGAAACCGCAGTTACAATAATACGCTATTCAGTTATATGTGGTTGTGGTGATTTCAGAGTCGTTTTCCTGCAATGTACACACAGTGAAAATGAGAAATTCCCAAACTTATCCTATTCTTCTTTCCCAATTCCTCTTCTCTGCAGTGTGGACGGCGAGGTTCTCTCAGGAGCCGGCAGACCAGTCGGTGGTGCGGGGCCAGAGGGTGATCCTGTCCTGTGTTGTCTTCAACTACTCAGGCATTGTTCAGTGGACCAAAGATGGCTTGGCTCTGGGTATCGGAGAAGACCTCCGGGGTGAGACATCATGCAGCCCCTTCAGGCATCCTTCACTCCGTTCTGCATGTGACTAAGATGGCGTTCTCAAAGCTGATGCTGATACTTTCAGATTGGAGCTGCTGATAGGCACATGTTAAAGCTGCATGTTTAAAGCTGTAGAAATGTTTCACCCCTTTTCAGAGGGTGCAGAGGGAGACTGTTATGTTTGTATTGACATGTGCAGCAACAGTTACAATGCAGAAGGTCAGAGCTCTCTGCTGGAACTGTTACATTTAGAAAGTTACATTTAGAAGTTTGCATAACATTTGGTATTTACATTTTTTGGTGGGACAACCCAGGGATTTCAAACCGCTTGGCACTTGCAAGGTCTTACATTCGATTGCCAAATTGAAAGTTGGGCGTAAAAAGGTCTAAAACAGTCTTTATTACAATTTCGTAGGTCTAAAAATGAACACTCTACTGGTGTGTAAGTGCAACATTATTTTTAGGTTAGGATTTTGATGCTTCCAGTTTCTTTTTCTTTTTTTTCATTTTTATAAATGATGCTTTTAGATTGCTGCTAGAACCCTGTTAATACAGATACATAGAAATACCGGGTTTGAACACAGAACAACTTGAAGCGGATTGTAACAGCCCTGCTAACTGCTGTTTCAGATGTTACAGATGTGGAATGTGATTTTCTCAAATACTAAACCCTCTCACAGCATTTTGAAAATCCACGCTCGCCCAGTGTGACATTGCGTGGATGTAGCTGTGACGGCTAATGTACGCTGACAAAGTGTTTTTGTAGCGAGATTGAGCCAGCAGGGCAGTTTTTGGCCAAGAGATGTGAGAGTTGCTACTGTTAAATAGCAGCCCTCCCCCTTCCAGTCACACCATGTTGTGAAAAACCGTGCACTTATTTAGGTTGATGTTAACTTTAGCCACCTTCTACACATATCATACAATATTTGATGGGAAAGCACTCTGCTCTCCCTCGGGACGAGTGACACCCTTCGACTTGATGAAGGGGCATCACATCATCACCTCTGTCATATAGGCAGAGGGTGACACTGACTGGAGGATATCTACTATATACAATTTATTTGTATCGATTCATCAGCTAGCTCACATTCCTTTACGCTGCTGCCCTAAATGTTCCCTCCAGTTTGTCTTTGCATTTCTTCCCCTCAGAGGAAATGTCCTGTTTGATCTATGAAGCCCCCCCGCTTGTCTGTCTGTCAACAACAATTTGAGGAACTGCTTGTCTGACTTTGATCAAACTTGGGGGAATGGTGGGTCTCATCGCTGTGATGCAGCATTTTCCGAATTGCGCTGATTAGCCCAAAGGGGGCTGTGCAATTACTGGTCAAAACAAGTAGGCATATTTTCAACTGATTGGTCCAGAGGGAGACTTCACAATTGGTGACATGCTGAGGCCTTGTTTTTTGTTGATGCTGCCGTTGTTTACCCCACATGGTGTAAATATTCAGGTTTTTTGTTATTTTGTTTTGCTTATTACAACATTTCCTTTATTTCCCTCTATCCTCCCATCCTAACTACTGTATGATTTTGCATCAGTTCTTTTGTTTCTTTTTCTAATCATCACCCTCTCCTCCACTGTCTGTCATGCTATTCCTCTGCGACCTCCTCATCTTAGCTCCCTTGTTCCGTCCTCTTCCTCTTGTTCTCCTTCTTTAAGCTGCCTCTGTTGCACTGAGCCCTCTCTCCTATTCTTCATTTAACTTCTCTACCTTGTCTCTCTCTTTACCCTCACCCTGCCTGACACACTCTCAGTTCATGCTCTCCTCTTCCTGACAACCTTTCTCTCCTCCTCTCTCTCCTTGTCTGTCCCTTCTCCATTCTTCCTGTCTCTCCCTTTTTCTTACTCCTTTCTCTGAATCATATTGTTACTGTAATGGTCCAGTGCTTCAAGCCAAAGCTTTTAAATAGAAACGTGAATGAACACTGGCCGCTTCATGCTCACATACACATACACACACACACACACACACACACACACACACACACACACACACGGGTGTGTGTGTGTTTGTGTATGAGCCTCTGTCCCTCTCCCCCCCGGTTCTCTGGGCTTTTCATACGCTTTCTCGCTCTCAACATTAGAAATGCAAATGCACGTATATACAAGGCACACATGCATGCAGAAACAAGGACACCCAAGGTTAGGCGAGCAGCAGAGCTCAGAGTCTGCACATTGACACAGCACACAGAATTTCACACGCCGTCTATGTCTGGGCAGCAAACATGAATTCTGCACCATAGACTGGAGTGGATTTGAGTCCTCTAAAACGTTGCTGTCATAATGCATTCATCTTTTCCCCCCGCCGGTGAGGGAGAGCATGGATGCCACCTAATGGTGAGAATGTACAGCAGTGACACAGCTGTGTGGCGGATGGGGGAAGGGAAGGGAGTACTGAAGAGCAGGGTGTGAGAGTGTGTGTGCATCGTGCAATTGTGTGAATGTGTAGGTTTGGTCATGCATTTGTTGTTGTGCACGTCATCATATCACGTGGTTGTGCATCTCCCTGGTGACATTTAGCCTAATGACGAAAAAGTCATGTTTTTGCTTCATTTGTGACTCAGACCTGATGTTTTCTTACCAGCAGGAACAACCACATGCTGCGTGGTGTCGCATTTTTTAAAATTCTGATACAGACCCCATGGGGATGTTAGGATCCTGTGACGAATTAACCATTTTTGTGTTAAGAGTTAAAATAGGATAGTGACATAAAGTAACCTTCAGCCAGATAACAACAAGCATAATAGGAATGTAGAATGAGTTTATAAGAAGTGATAAATGTAATCAAGTCAGTAAGAAAACCTATTTCCTCAAAGTTATTAAGATGATCTAAATCTTAATGTATTTCGTGTGTATGTGTGTTCCAGCTTGGCCCAGGTACCGCGTGCTGCGAGTGCAGGAGCTGGGCCAGTACAACCTGGAGATCCTGTCAGCTGACCTGTCTGATGACTCGCTGTACGAGTGTCAGGCCCCTGATGCTGCCCTGAGGTCCAGGAGGGCCAAACTCACCGTCCTCAGTATGTTTGTGCGCATGTATGTCAGTGCACGTGTCTCTATGTGAGAGTGCTTTTAACACTCCTCTCCTCTCTTGCTTCAGTCCCCCCAGATAACCCGGTGATCGATGGGGGTCCAGAGGTGTTGCTGAATGCGGGGGAGTCCTACAACCTGAGCTGTGTGTCTCGAGGGGCCAAACCGCCTTCTATGATCGAGTGGCTTAAAGATGGGCTGCCTGTAGAGGGGGCTGCCAGCACCACTGTAAGTCTCAAATAGAGACCAGATCCAAGTGTTTCTACAGTACCTGATATGTATTTAAAATGCTTCATCCATGTCTCCACCCCGTCATCAGGAGGTGCTTCCAGACAGGAAGAGGGTGACCACACGTAGCTACCTGCCCATCCAGCCTGTGGACACTGACACTGGGAGGAACTACAGCTGCGTGGCCACCAACCTGGCTGTTCCCACCGGCAAAATCACAACCGTGTCCCTCAACGTACACCGTAAGCTGTTAATTGATATACAGGCAGAAGATGACTTTTACAGAAGAGTATTTGGCCCAGGATTAAAGTAAAAATAGACAAGGAATATTATTTTATTTTGAATTCCAAGTGAAATTCAAGTTGAAATGCAGCAAAACAAGCTAGAATGTATGGATTAAAGTCGTCATTTTGCAACATTTTGACTTAATTCTTGATATTTATCATTTATTTTGGACAATTATGACCTTATTATCTACATTTCCACACTATTATTAACACTTCATCTTTACTCTCCTTATTCAAAAACGAAATACAAGTCTTTCTCCTCTCCTTTTTTCCTGCCTCACTCTAGTACTCCTAGGTTAAGCTAAGGAAGTGTCATTGTATTTGCAAAAAAATACGATAAAAATACATTGGCATTGAAAGAATACATTTTCTTCACGATATATTATTACAACAACCTGCTAGTTACTTCACACGGTATCTTTCGACATTTCCAACTAATCAAAAGCAACAAGGTGTCAATTTTGAAAAATAAAACATCTGCGAGCTGCTGAATCTTTCATAGCTTTAACTAAGTAATGCATGGCATCCATTTTGAATTATCCTCCTCCTTCTCCAGATTGCAGCATATATTAGCTGTAATAAGGCTGTTGTAATGTGAGTCTCTCTCTCTTCCAGATCCACCGTCAGTGACCTTGTCCATCGAGCCTCGCTCTGTCCTGGAGGGGGACAGAGTCACCTTCACCTGCCAGGCCCACGCCAACCCTCCTATTATGGGCTACAGGTCTGCATTCACCTTCAAACACAACCATTTTCATTGGGCCCTGTAGAGATGGAAAAAGTACTCAGATCTTGGCCTTAAAGGTCCCCTATTATACTCTTTTTCATCAATATATTATAGGTCTCAGATATATACAAAACATGTCTCTGAAGTGTTTGGCTGAAATACCAAACAGATCATTGCAGCATCCCATAATCCCCTCTGTTTCAGCCCTGTTTCAAAAGTGCTGATTCTGTCTCTGTTACTTTAGATGAAAATAAGGAGCCCCTCCCCACGCCCCTCTGAGAGATATTTGGTTCAAAAGAACACAATGGTGCTCTAGGAGGAGATTCAGGTGATAAGGGGGGGGGGGGGGGTTACCTTGGTTGGTTATTGGCTAATGGTTACACAAGCCAAATCATCTCATCAAAAACCTGTCTGAAAATGAGCTGATCAGATTTTGGCCACTTTATGATGTCATAACGATTATTTGGCTTGAGTAACCATTAGCCAATCACCAACCAAGGTAACCCCCCCCCTTATCACCCGAATCTCCTCCTAGAGCATCAATGTGTTCTTTTTAACCAAATATCTCTCAGAGGGGCGTGGGGAGGGGCTCCTTATTTTCATCTAAAGCAGGGGTCTCAAACCTTTTTTAGAATGAAACAAGTCGTGAGCTACTTTTACTCCTTTTTTTTTTTTTTTGCAGTGTATGTATTTAGCACATTTTCACATTATTATATGCTGACCTTTAACCTTTGTATGCTGTTTGGGTCTGTGGGACCCGTTTTCAGTGTTTACTAAAAGAAAATGTATGCAATTTAATGATTTTAACCTGCTTTATTTGGGGGTGGACCTCACCTCCTTTTTTAAATGTTGAAGTGAAATGCATCAATCTGGTGCACTTTGAGCACAACATGAATTGATGGATACAGCTCTCAACACTCAGATGAAAGGGAGCTGTATACTTTTCAATAATCCAAACATCTTTAGAATATGATCACAACCAACAACAAATCATTTAAACTTGTTTATTCTTATCTTATGTTACCTAGTTAGCATTCTTTCTTTTTATTTATGCATATTTTACTAATCACTCCCCTTTCAAACTGTTTTTTTTTTACTGTCCTATAGTACACATTGGAATGATTTCTTACTTTATTTGTTACAACTAGCCTACATTAAATAGATAAAGGTGTGCTCTCTCTCTGTCTCGCTCGCTCACAGAGGCTGTGTGCTCCTCCGTGGCGATGACGGCTTGCGTTAAAAAAAAATAATAAACATATTTGTAAAGTGGGGGGACACAAACGGGATTTCGAAAAGTGGGGACATGTCCCCCCCCCTGTCCCCAGTGGAAATTACGCCATGCGTATGTGTGCGTCAAGTGCAATAAATAAATATGCAAGTTGCAACACACACAGTAAAACTCTGCCCCTCATGTGCTGTATAGGCTGGCATGATAGGCTGTTCAATGGGGCTGATGTGCTGTGTAGATTCTGCCAGAAGGAAAGGTCAAACTCATTATGAAGCGGTGAGCTGCCGCTCCACATTGCTTTTCTTCCCGACTGCAACGCTGGTCCCGCAAATCAAGCAAGAACGTGATTGGTCGATATTCATTGTGGGGGTGGGAGGAGGATGGGTGTTAGATAGATATAGAGTTGTAGTAAGTAGATAGAGTTCGCTATGATTGAGGTTTCGTTTATGCATAGGGTCGATTCTTTAATCACATTTCCTTTTTTTTTTTTTTTTTTTTTTACATTTTGGATTTGCTTGGCGAGCTACTTATTGAGGGCTTGCGAGCTACCGGTAGCTCGCGATCGACGTGTTGGAGACCCCCTGACAGACAGAGAATCAGCACTTTTGAAACAGGGCTGAAACAGAGGGGTTTATGGGATGCTACAATGATCTGTTTGGTATTTGGAGCCAAACACTTCAGAGACATATTTTGTATATATCTGAGACCTATAATAAAGTAATGAAAAATAGTATAATAGGGGACCTTTAAGTACAATACTTGAGTAAATCTACTTAGTTACTTTACACCACCACTTGTACGATATTTTTTGAATAACCTGCGTTTTAATGTTTCCTTCCAGTTGGGCTAAGGGGGGCGTGTTGCTACAGGGTGCCAGGGAGAGTGTGTTGACCACCAAGGCGGACCACTCCTTCTTCACAGAGCCCGTCTCCTGTCTGGTCTTCAACGCTGTGGGGAAGACCAACGTTAGCATCCTGGTGGACGTTCACTGTGAGTCACGCCGCACTCATCTGGCCCTGTTCACTTGTTTCTGGCTCACTTCACTCACTTCAGTCTGGAGTCAGAGGGATAAAGCACACGGCTGTTTGTGTTTCTTTATCCTCTGAGGATGTTCTCCCCTTTAGTCCTACTGCATTATTACTCGAGCACAACAAAGAACATCTCTCCGTCTCTGTTTCTGTGTCTCCAGTCGGTCCAATTCTGCTGGTGGAGCCGCAGCCAAAAACAGTGGATGTTGACTCTGATGTCTCCCTCAACTGCAAATGGGCTGGAAACCCTCCGCTCACACTCACCTGGTTCAAAAAGGGATCAAACATGGTAAGAAGCGAAGAGCCCACGCTTTCCTCTCCTCTTGTGTTCACACTATTTTTGCAGTTCACACTTTCTTCTCCAGTGTTGACAAAAGCTGCCTTTCATTCAGGGCCAATATTTTGTTTGTACACATCAGAGTTTCCTTTAGCCGGTAATTACCGGACTTTGACCGGTAAAATATGCTGAAGACCGGCAAATCTAAATCCCTCCAGCCAAAAATAATTTCCCCTTAGCACTATGACATAATACTATTATGTCATAGACAAGAATAGTATGTGACAGACAAGAAGAGTCAATTCTAATGTCTAACACGTAATGTGGAGAAAGAGATGTCCTGTATGGGTTGATTGTGCGTTGATCTGTTGGTAATGCCTCGGGGTTCCGGTGGGCATATAAACAAATGCATAATGCATCTATACTTTGTGGCCTCACCCGGTTGCATAGCGACGCTTATTGTTTAGGTGTCTTTTAATAAGCAGGTAGTCATATCATTAGCTAGAACTAGCTCTGATCGATATGGACATAAACGCGAGTGAAGTCTAATCTGACGGGAGAGAGAGATCAGCTGCTGCTGACGAGTCGACACGCAGCTTTGCATGATCACATGCAGCGGTGAGCGGACAAACACACACTTCAGGTTAGAATATCATACGTAGCTATTTTAATGACCTCTCAAACTACCGTAACTAGTTATAGATATGTTTAGTTTTACTGTCGGGTCACTCATTACTGATCCGCGAGCTGCATGACGGGCTGTCAGGAGAGGGAGAGTGCTCCGTTTATTATTCCCGTGTTATTATAATTACTGAACACTTTTGAATAATGTAGTTAATCTACTATAATTAGTTTGTTTAATATCGAATCATATCAATTTGTTTTAAAGCTCAATAAATAACAAAGACGGCCTTTGACCGGCTCTTTTCTCATTTTGTCCGGAAGATTTCAACTTTAACGGACAAAAAATTCTAACACATAGAAATCTTTCTTTGCTGCTTCCCTGTCATGACCTATTTCTCTCAATGTCCCTTTTGTCTTTTAAGCTTCGGTCAAAAACGATAAATGAACTCTCATATATTCAAATGACTCAAACAGCTGACCAGTATCTTTGAAATTCACTAATTAGCATGTTTTATTTTTATGTTGAATCAAACAAGAGTGTTTTTTTCTTGATGATGTTGTGGTTTTACTTGGCTTTTGCTGATTGTATATTTTGTTATTATTAGACAAAGCTAGGCAAGCGTTTCTGTTGTTGCCAAGCTAATTGTCTGCTTGCTCTGGTTTCAAAATGTATGGTACTGACATTAGAGTGGTGTCACTCTTAACCATAACACAAATAATCATATTTCCCAAAATGTTGAACTTTTTCTTTAGCCCAGCCACCAGGACACTAAGGCTGCATTTTTTTTAACTATCAATTATTCCGCTTGTTTTTTCTAGGTTCATAAGTGAATAGTCTAGTTTTTACAATGTCAGAAAATTATAATCCTAAATTAAATGTTGTTTTGTTGGTCCAAACCCTAAAATAATATCCAGTTTTAAACGGATATTGAACAGAGAAAAGCAGGAAATATCCATTTTTGTAAGTACAAACAGTATTTATTGCATTATTTGAATAATCAAAAAGAAAGTTATTATTTCTCTGACTTGATGTTTGGTTTATTAATTGCTGAATCTCTAAAGGACAACCTATTAAAATGTTAGTTCATTTAAATTTTGTCAAATAATTTCATTTAACTAGTTAATCATCACCGTTTTTAGACCGCAATACATGGCTTATAGTTGTATGTGAACATAAATATTGTTCAATATATATATTCTATTTTACCATTGGCTGTCTCTTATTAAACTGCAGTTAAGATCAGGAATAAAGACAAGACAGCACAGTGAAATAAATCTTCCTCATCATAAGCCTGCCTTAGCAATCTGTGCACCAGCTTACACCTACATCTGTGTAATTAGTGCAGGTATTTCTCTCTCTAGGTAGTTACATATTTAGCCATAATTTCCCCTCTGCTAATTTTCCGATGGATGTGGTTGCTAGGCAACTACAAAACCTTTGTGATAGGTTAAAAGCGGATGTGCCGTTTGCATTGTTGGAGTCACGGTTGTAGAACACATAAGGCCAGACATGCAAATATGTTGAACTTCTCCACTCGTGAACAGCTTTTATTTTGTTAATCCCTTCACAGTTTTTAAGCAGATTCCTCTTGTTTCTATGTGTTTATACTTTCTCCACTCCCCCACAGGTTCTGAGTAACAGCAACCAGCTGTTTCTGAAGTCTGTGAGCCAAGCGGATGCCGGCCAGTACGTATGTAAGGCCATCGTCCCACGGATTGGAGTAGGAGAGACTGAGGTCACGCTCACTGTCAACGGTCAGAAAACATCCACACAAGTTAACATATCACTGCTGCTAGAGGAAAAGCATGTCGTTTCTTAAAGGTCAGCTTGTCAGTAATTGAAAAAAATAAAAGTCTAAAGTGGTTGCCGGTTATTTTTTTAAATAATACTCTTGAAAAGAAGCTTGGTAAGGTCAATGCCTTAAGAAAAACAGGAAAAAGCAGCTTGTTTTATTGAAGTCTTTGTATCCATCTTTCACATACACTCACTTATCCTGTTATTTTTCCAATGCAGGCCCCCCCATCATCTCCAGTGAGTCAGTCCAGTATGCAGTGAAAGGGGAGAGAGGAGAGGTGAAATGCTACATAGCCAGTACACCTCCGCCAGATAAGATTGTAAGTGGGAACATAAGAAAATGTGAAAGCATGACGCACTGTTAAAATCTCCAAATATTGGACCAGAATGAATTATTAAGGCAAAAAGGAAAATCACAAAAAGCATACGGATGTACCTTTTAACCAGATTTGTGTTTCACTGTTACGGAGCGTCCACACTACAGCTTCAAAAAAAGCTTGGAGCTGGGCGTGTATGAAGCTTGGGGATTTTATTCAAGCAACGCGACCAACAACCAATCACATGAATCTCCCGCCCCCGACATACAAAGCAAAAACCCCCGGGGGTTGTATGGGAGCAATATATATATAAACTCCCCAAACAGGCGAAAACCTACCAGTTTCACCCACTGTCTCTGCCACCTCCCTCCATGCCTGGTTCCTCCGGTTTGTATCCCGGTAGGTGAAGAGGGTCTGCTCATACAAAACCGGGTGATTTGCTACGGCGATAATTAGTTTCTCCTCCATCTTTTTTTGAAATATAGAAATGAATGGCAGGATATCTCTCCCAGCTTAGACGCGGTTTGATTGGCTACGGCTTGAGCTGTCAGATTTTCCGAAACGGGATTTGATTGGCTGGCGCTGGCTACTCCGGCGTCTCCGGCGTCAGAAGTTGAACATTGTTCAACTTCTGACGCCGGAGACGGACCGCTATGCTACCCACAATTCAGTTCGGCGAAAAAGCGAGGCAACGTGACGTCACCCCATTCAAAGTGAATGGGCAGATTGAAGCTGTCGACGCTGTAGTGTGGACGGGCCGTTACTGTACCTTCCTGTTCCTAAATGGCTCTGCAGCAAATGCTTTAAGGCCCTGTCCCTCTTTTTCGCTTTTTGAGTGGTGACTCACCCTTAAACTCTCACAGAATTTCCCTCCGTCCCATCATCTAAACAAACTAACACTAAGCCGGGCCGCTTTTAGCTCCTGCGTCAGAAGTCATCCGTGATGCTTTCTCCACTCAGATGCAGTCGTAGTAGTCCCTGTGTGACTGATTCATCCTGACTCTCAGCGCGAGCTCCTAATGCGAGCGGCGGAGGGTTTGGACAGAAACAGATTTATAAAATATAAAGGAGTGAAGAGGAACAGTTGTCCCGGTAAATGCCACAGCCAGGAGATTATCCTTCTTTAGAATAAGTGGGCAGATTATGGGAACATGTGGGCTTATGCATAATTAACTGGCTTTACAGTGTTCCAATGCTGAATAATACAGCTGCTTTTAGTGGCTTTAAGGTTGGACAATGTGCAAGATCCCCCCCCCCCACACTTCAGTCTGCGCAAACAGACAGACTGTTGCTCGTCTGAGAGAGTCACGCAAAATGTGTTTACATGTGTGAAATATATATATTGTTTGTTTTTTTATCCTTCATTTTCAATTTTTTAAGAGAAAGTAAAATCACTCTCCTTTGAAAATATTAATATGAGTTGTTTCAGAGTCCCTACAACAGAAAACAGAAACATAAATACGGATTAATTCATGAATAAACCAAATAACAAACACACATTTACTGTATTTACAGCAGTTGGGTTATTATTTGTTAAAGTCATAATTGAAAAAATCATTACCTCTGAACGGAACATTGAGAGAAGATAATTACTGGCAGATATTCAGCAAAACATGTACAAATTAGTTTTCATCCTACATTAAAAGCTTTACAAATATATATTTCACATTCTTAAAGCCAATCATTATTTTGAATCAGCCAAAAACTAAAATAACCGGCAGGGTTTTTGGCATAATTCCATGTTAATCACAGAAAGCACCATTCTCTTTTTTAGAGAATTCTGGCTTCCTTTATTCTTTGACTTTTGTTGCTTGTCTTGGTGGCTAAGATAAGCACACTTAACTCCGTGTTTGGAGTACATATGCATAATATTCTTCGCACACTGCCTGGAGTTTTAATAAACAATTTGATTGGACGATTTACCCAGGAAAATGTAATCCCTCCCACACGGTGATTAATTAATTGTGATAAAACCTCCTATGGTCTCCTGTGTGTGTGCAGGTGTGGGCGTGGAAGGAGAACGTGTGGGAGAAGGAGAAGGGAACGCTGCTGGAGAGGTACACAGTGGAGCAGAGCAAGTCCTCGGCCGAGGGAGGGGGCGTCCTCTCCACCCTCACCATCAACAACGTGATGGAGTCCGACTTCCTGTCCACCTACAACTGCACCGCCTGGAACTCCTTCGGCCCCGGCACCATGATCATCTCACTGGAGGAGACCGGTGTGTTTCATGCATTTATCATTTAAAGGTCACCTATTATGCAAAATCCACTTGTTCATGTCTCTTCTACATCAACATGTGTGAAGAGATTCTGAAAGCTTCAGGAAAAAAGATTTGCTCACTTTTTGTCCTGATCCATTTCTATAAAAACCTGTCACACAAAAATGAGCTGATCAGATTTTGGCCATGTTATGATGTCATGACGATTATTTGGCTTGTCCAACCATTAGCCAATCACCAACCAATCACCCCCCCCCACCTTATCACCTGAATCTCCTCCTAGAACACCATTGAGGTCTTTTTAACCAAATCTCTCTCAGAGGGTCGTGGGGAGGGGCTCCTTATTTTCATCTAAAGTAACAGACAGAGAATCAGCACTTTGGAAACAGGGCTGAAACAGGGGATTATGGGTAATGCTGCAATGATCTGTTTGGTGTTTGGAGCCAAACACTTCAGAGACATGTTTTGTATATATCTGAGACCTCTAATATATTGATGAAAAACAGTGTAATAGGGGACCTTCAGGAGATAGGGACAACAAACAACAGAAATGTCTGACAAAGTTGGTTGTCGCACCATTACTTATTAATATATAAAACTCTCTTTTTCTCCCTTTCTTCCTCATTCCAGAGGAAGTCCCAGTGGGGATAATAGCCGGTGGGACGGTGGGCTCCACCATCCTCCTCTTCATCTTTCTGCTGGTCCTCGTTCTGATCTTCTACCGGCAACGCAAAGGCAGTGAGTCATTCTCTCCATGTGTCCAACACATACTGTACATTCATGTTTTTGCTGATACTGATACCAATACAGTACCGTCCCCTTCCCTCGCTTGAACTGCTAAGCTGTTAATAATTAATTTGTATGTGTGTGCTTCGCTTAACTAAGCCATCTGAAAATAACATCAGGCTCTTTGAAGCAAATGTAACTCAGTTCCGCCATACTGCCTGCTGCTGTTTTTAACTTTCAGAACATTAAGCAGCCGTTCTGATGGGTCAGAACCAGACGTTGCATTATCAAATCTAAAAATAATTGGTATTTTCTAATTAGGAAAAATAATGAACAGATGCCTCTTGCATTATTGTCATCTGGATAGTACTATAAAACACTAACGTAGGCAAATTAATCACATCAGATTACACTTATTCTTATTTTTTTTCAATAACTAATCTAGTGTTTTTAGCTGATTCTGGTTTTGTTACATTTCTCATCAATCAAGCTTTTCCTCTCTCGAGGGCTTGTCTTCTTTGTTTTACTTTATTACCATTTCTCACAGTGCATATAAAACCTATTTACAGAACAAAAATGTAAAGTATTTTCTAACAACTTATTACATTATAATAATATTAATAATGACAATAAAGAAAAAAAGATATGAATAATAAAAAGAGAGAGAAAGATATCAAGACAACAAGGAGAAAAAGGAAAGGAAAACAGTCAGCTGATTTTGGTTGAAATGCTCACAACTAGACCAAATGAAAGCAAAATCAAACACCCCCAGCTTCCTCTCCACCATGTGGATGTCGGTGCCCTCTGAACTCGCTCCTCCAGCTCGTGAAAACAAACCAGCGGAGGTGCGTGTGTCCAGCTGTATTCAACCTCGCCCGTGTTTTGCTTCCAGGTCGCCGCGGGGTCACGCTGGGTAAGCCCGACATCAAGGTGGAGACGATCAACAAGGAGACCCACAGCCTGGAGGAGGACTCCGGCAGCGTGTCCACGGCTTCGCGCATGGTCAAGGCCATGTACTCGGTGAGCGGCAGCGGGATATGTTTACACAGCCTGTAGTCGTAGAAAAAGAAAAACTCACATTAACTCAGTGACCTCTCCCTACACCACACTGTACATTTTGTAAAAACTCAAATCTTGTGTTTTCCCTCTCCTTTTAACACTGTTAATCCCATTTTCTCTTTTCTTGTCATACTCTGTTCCCTCTTCTGTTTCGTTACGGCACCTTCTCTCTTCCTTTTTCTTTTTTCTTTTGTTTTGTTGTTTGACGGTTTAGTTTCTCCCCTCTGTGTCCTTCTCTCCTTCCAATCAGCCCTTTAAAGATGACATAGAGCTCAAGTCTGACCTCCGCAGCGACACCCTGGAAACCCGCCAGGAATATGACCTTAAGGTGAGCTCATTAAACACTCGTTTATATCAAATCAGCAAGCGGATTGACTGCACAATCCAAACAAACTGTACATGTATACTAAAACACTCCAAATACAGAGAAGAGTTACGCCACAAGTGAGGAAAGCAAGTAGAAAAACACAGATGTGTTCAATAACTTAAGGTTAACTTAACTTAATGAGGTTATGCAGAGTTCATTCTAATGATACCTGAATGGGCTGTAAATATCCCAATCATCACTGACATGGTGACTTTATCTAATGAAGTACAGTGTTTCCTTTTCCGTGCAGTTTAACTAATAAAGTTTGCAATGTTCTAAAAGTTGAAAATCCGCTAAATATAATGATTTTTAAATATCACGTTTGTCCTCTAGAGGGTGCAAATGGGCATTTTAAGTAGCCAGAAGCAGACAAAGAAAGGGATTTAAAAACAAAGCTTCATTCTGGATCAGATTAGGATCAATTTATCTTAACTGGATAACAAACTGGTACTAGTAACTAATTTTGTAACCATTATATACTTTCACATTTGAGATACAGTATATCCAGTAGAAAGTTCTCTTCATACAGGTTTGTATTCACAGTTTAGTTTAGTATCTTATTAGAGACATATATATCAATAGAAACTGTCATTAGCATTACATGATTTCAGTAACTGTTCCCCCTTCATGAAACTGTCATGGAGTAACTACTACCCTCTATACATCCTCTATATATGGATAAAAGCATAACAAAGTGGCCGCCTTTTATCTAACGGTTGGTGGCCAGCAAATAACAATGTATTACATAGGACTACAAAAACAAGACTACAGTCCAGTTAAAACAATTTCAACATCAGTACAAAATCCCCTCAGCTGACCTTTAAACTAAGTGTTAGTATTATACTCAATATCTGTGGGAATATTAGAGTAGGATATTTCAAACTAAAACTGCCGGCGCTCCTTAAGCGCTCCCTCTCTCTGTCCAGCTGTGATGCAACTAGCTTTACTGATTTCTGAGAAACGTAAGATATGTGATGAAAAACAATCCGCCTGTGTACCTGGCATCAATCATTCATACTTTTTGACACTGTGAGGCTGGTCTAGGTGACTAATGTATTTTCACGTTTACCGCTGCCAAAATGTTCTGCTGAAACCCGCCCCCCCCTCCCCATGAATATTTTGTGAGGGCAAACCCCTCTAGCTGGAGCGCTGCCTGGGATCATCACTCTGAAGAAACACAGACATGAATCCACCCCAGGAGATGGTTAGATCACCTCGACAACAGCCTCAGCAGCCAGACTGTTTTTTTACCCCCCCCCCCCTCCCCACACAAGCACCAGAGCAGTGAAACAAAGTCAGGGGGAGGAGCTGGCGCATGACAGACAATGAGATGGCAGAATTATGTCAGAACTAATAGTGGAGAAACATGAAGTGGGTGTAGAGAGCAGGGAGAGCATCCTTCAGACAATCAAAAGGATTAACGTCCATGTTAACCTTCTTCTAAAAGTGAGATAGATCTACTCTAAAGTTGAAATCATTTGAGAGACATCTGTTAGTTTTTGTGGATTACTCCTGTTTGCTGAGGAATTTAATGTCAGTAGAATTTTGGAGGACTCCAGACTGTATCTTGATTTGCATTCATTTTTCAAAAAGAGTCACAAAAAGACAGCTATGACCTCCAAGATCATTTCTCCTTGGGGATCTGGAGGAACAGAACATTTTTATTAGAGACCTTTGACCCTAACAATCTGTACACTGGCGTATAGAATAATTATGTAAGGGATAATGTGCAGCAAGCATGTTATTTTTACAAAATGAACCCCTTTAATGTACATAATGCCACTTATAACACAGCTAAACTTACTAATACAGTTGACATTTCACAGGTAATGATTTCAAATAAATTTGAATGCTACTGTTCAAGAATTAAGTCGATAACAAGCACCGTGGAATGTTGTTATTGATCAATCAAAATCAAGCAACAACAAAGTTGTGTAATATATAAATGTTTATAATTTTAGTTTGTAGGTTTTTATAATAATAATGATTTTTCCGCTCATTATATATTTTGTAATACTAATTCTGCCTCCTATTTTTGCTTCAGGACCCCACCAATGGCTACTACAACGTGCGGGCCTCCACCCACGATGAAGGCCGCCCTGCCTCGCGCTCCACCCTGCACTATTCTGACTACCGCTCCCCCACAGGGACCCCAGGGGGTGCCGCCTCCATCAGCAGCAGTGCAGGAGGCTCAGGAGCCACGGCCAGCGGAGGGGGCCCCGGTCCCCCCGGCCCCCTCACCTCCCCTGGCCGCCCACAGGCTTGCTATGACCCCAGACCCCCCTCTAGACTCTCACACATCAGCTACGCCCAGTTCAACACCTTCACCCGCGCGGGCCAGATTCAGCAGCCCCAGCCGAACCCCCCCCCCATGGCCAGCGACTTCCCGGGAGAATGCAGCCTCCTGGACTCCACCTCCCAGCTGGCCTACGACAACTACGGATACCCGTCGCATTACCAGACCTACCGCATGGGTTTCGCCCCGTCCAGCCTGGCCCCTCTGGAGGCCTGCCCCTCCTACGAGATGTACGGGGTGGGGGCCGGGGTGGGACCTGGGGTGGGACCCGGGGTGGGACCCGGGGTGGGACCTGGGGTGGGACCTGGGGTTGGCAGCCCTGTTGTGGGCGTGGGTCCCCCGGGCCCTGCCCCCTCGGGATCAGAGCCTGGACTCGGAAAGTACGGCAGCTCCACCCGCTTCTCCTACACCTCCCAACAATCTGACTACTCCCACAGCCGGCACACACAGAGGATGCAGACTCACGTGTGAGACAGAGAACACCCTCACGGTCTGAGCAGAGCATGAGGACGCATCTTATAAATAGTGTCACACCTAAAAAACACGACAGACAATCATAGATTTACACGCACACATTTCACACAGAAACTGAAAAACATCACACACACCCACATGCACAGTCAGGAGACTGTGCCCATGAGACAGGGAGAGACGGGGAGAAAAAAAGACGAGTGGGAAAGTAGTTTAGTGAGACAGGGAAGGGAAATTCCACACAATTTTGAATTCCCTCTCTCCCAATGTGTTTGTATATCTGAGCTCTGAAAGAGCGGACGGCGCAAGTCACAATCAAGACTGAGAAAGAGAGCAAGAACCAGAGAGAGGACGAGAGATCACAGATCTATGGAGCCCTATAGCTTTTGCTCTGAACTGACTTTGTAAATGATGAGAGAGAACGTCTTTAGGCTAAACGGACTGTCAAATATGGAACACGCTGATTGGGTAAAACCTCAACCAGTGGAAGTTATTTCTGGCCTCCATTTTTTATTTTGTTTTGCTGGTTGTCTTATTCAGTGATCATAGAGCACATACAGTATAAATATAGTATCCCAGAATGCCCTTTTGTACAGTGGTACATGCCATTATGCCCGTTAGGCGGCATGTGTTGGGGCTGGGGGGGGGGGGGGTTGGGAGGGTTGTCATCATTTTGCACTGCATCTACAGTATTCATGCTTAGACGTCCCTTATCTATATCTGTGTAATGTCTTCTTTTTATTTGCACACCAGACTAGAGCTTTGTATTCTATTTTTTAACATTACAGAATTATTTTTGTCAATGTAAAACATGTATTGTGTATGTACGGACCAAAAGTTTTGAGCGTGAGCCCACTTAAAGAAAACGGGCCGGTGATTCCACTGAGACAGGAAGAAGAGTTGTGTCAACAGCGGAGCCTGAATTCAGGACGTGTTTCACATCAGAAGGGTGTATCAGTGTATAAAGGAAACCCTAGTGCCAAGTGTTCATGTTGTTATTCACCTTAAACCATGTATATGCAGTAGAAGCTCCTTCTATTGGTGACTGTTGCTTTATAAACCAGGCTCGGGGCCTTGAGTCATTCTCAGACATTTTCGTAGGCTGGAGCCTTTTTCCTCTGAGCTCCTCACTACAAGCTCGGTGCAGACAGAGAGAAAAACACAGATGTTGGGTTTAGAACTGAGTGGCCTTATAGGGGAACATGTCGTACATTTCCATTTTAATCATTCCTCATCGTCTGTCTGCCAAAAAAACGGCCGGAGGAGAATGTGTAAGGAGAGGTTCAATGAAGGCTTGTCCACAATATTGACATGTAGTAGAGTATGACTGTGAGCAGGGTTGGAGTTATGTGGGAGCCAATGGGAGCTGAGCTCCCTTAAGGAGGGTCTGAGCTCCCACGGACGCAGTGAAATCATACATCTGTGGGAGTCGCTAATACATTACCAACAACCATTATTTTAAGTTTGTAGCAAGTAGAGGGCTGCTGCTGCGCGTGTGCGCACGCGTTAGTTTTAAAGACCCCCATAGAGCTCAGTTTATAACTCGAACCCTGACTGTGAGTGTGTGTGGGTGTGTGTGTGTGAGAGAGAGATCAAGAGGGAGTGTTTGGGCACTGGCAAGCACATCGATTTGTACAGTGTGTTTGTATAGATGTGTGAATGACGGCGTGTGTATGGGAAGCATACTGTAAACACGCAGCACACGACTCCAGTGCTATTGTATGCATGTCCGTGTGTATACAGTATGTGTGTGTGTGTGTGTGTGTGTGTGTGTGTGTGTGTGTGTGTGTGTGTGTGTGTGTGTGTGTGTGTGTGTGTGTGTGTGTGTGTGTGTGTGTGTGTGTGTGTGTGTGTGTGTGTGTGTGCTTCAGTATATGTCCATATCATTTCTCTCACAATCCTGTCACAGTACTTTTATACCTCTGGTAGGACTGTATCCTGTATTATTGTGTCTTTGAATTTAGAAAATCCAATGTTTATCTTATTGTACTGTTCTTCGTAGCAGAGACAACTGTTCAAAAGATGTACAACGAACGTTATCAAACTCTCATTTTTTAATTTCATTATCTTCAATATTTTTTAAAAATGGTATGTAATTATTTTTCCACAGTATTACATAAATAAAAGCACTGTTTTTTATAATAAAGCCGAGTTTTTTCATTTTTGGTCATTGGCTTTAAATGTACAGCTTCCATTGTTTGTGTAATAAGCATAAAAGCTCAAATATTTTAGGGGGAGTGGAGAACACAAATCTGGAGTGTATGCTTAGAAGCAGCAGTACAGACTTTATTAAAGAATAGTAAAGTTTAAAAATCTTACATTCTGCCTACCCTTTTCTTTATGACACATTTGTGGTATGGGCTACGAATAGCGATAAATAAAACGGGTTTCAGGAGGTTGGGGTCTTATAATAGTTGGGATTTGTTCTTTAATAAAGACAAATATATTGTGTGATAGATTTTACAAAGTAAACTGGAAACATGAATACGCTTCTCTTTCTTGAGTTGCTCTTAATGTTGATACACACAAATACAAATACAGCTGTAAGGACGATAAAGCTGAACAGAGCTTAAGATAAAGACTGCTATGTACTGTACATATATGAAAAGATAGATAGACATTGAGACAATAGATAGATGATAGATAGTTGGATAGATACTTTATGTATCCCTAGTTGGGAAATTGTTTTGTCACAGCAGCAGTGTGCAAGAATTATAAAATTTCTTAGAAATATAATTTAAAAAATAAACATTCTTTGCATTATATACATATTCATAGTAGAAACTACTATATTCAGAAGAATATTTAAGAATACAAACTATAAAATAATCAGGATAAATGAGAATACTCTCTTATATACCAATCTACTAAAGGGACAGAAACATAAATACAATAAAATGAAAACGTTGATAAAGCAGTTTGTCAGGCAGCAGTTCGTGCTATAAACCGATAGGTGGCAGACACACGTTTTTAACTGAATGCACCTTCTTAACTACAAAAGAAGAAACTCCTCTACGTCATTGGCCACGGCCAGTGTAGCACTAACAGCCAAAATGGCGGGCACGATGTTGAGGTCGCTTACTAAACTAGGACGTCCTTCAACAAAATTGATATTAAATAATAATTTGCTGAGCCCTGCCTGTACTGTCGTGCAGAACAGGTAAGATAACAAGAATACGAAACGTGACGTTTTGTGTGGGTTGCCGTTTTAGCTTGAGCGTTAGATAAATATTCATACTGACACACAGGCAAATGTTAGCATAACGCTTAAAAAACCGACCTGCAAAATAATTATAATCACCTGCAACAGTATGTAGTTTCTTTCTGAATGGAAAATGTATTTATCAATGCACGCAGAATGTAATTATCATACAAATATAGCAATGTCATCCTTTAAAGCGGCGTTTGTCTAAGGGTAAACTAGCTATTGTGCTATCTAGTTGCTAGCGTTACCTAAACTGTTACCTAAAGTTAGCTTAGCTTTCTGATTAGCTAATGTCACTCCGTGTTTATCGTTGTTTTGCAGCTTTAATGCTGTATGTAAAGTCAACGTATAGGTGGTTATGAGGCTCCCAAAATAGTGTTACCTGCATTACATTCTAGCTATATGTAAGACCTTTGAAACTAATGGTAAACATGTGAAGAAGCCTGATTCCGACCCATCGCTATTATCAGAATCAGTCGTATATCTCACTTTAGGCTTAGAGGTCTCTACAATGTGTTTTTGTTCCTAGCATGTAATGTGTTGATTAGATTATGTAGCAGTGGCACCAATGTCAAGCAGACTTCAACAGGAAAGCTTGTTATTGGCGTAATCTGATACCGAGGGAGTTCTACAGATGCTTTAGGAGTTAAAGTATATTGTTACAACGTGTTAATGTAGTCATGTATTGATGTTGCAGTAATTAACAATAAGTCTGATCTGCCTGTGTCTCTCATCGGCCACTGTCATTAATGGCGATTCAATAGCCTGAAAATGTGGTACATACTTGGGGTTAAAATGCTGTTTTTGTCTTTAATTGTCTGCCTAAACAATGAAGAAAAATACCGTACCTCATGTTCAATGTTTTTACAGGCAGAAACAATGGCAGCCAGATGTGGAGTATACCGAGCAATTTGCTGGGGCGGTGATGTACCCCACTGCTGTTAACGAGAAATGGGTCCCACCACCATGGAATGGTACTGTCATCTCACTCACACACACACACACACACACACACACACACACACACACACACACACAGTCTCACATTTAGGGCTATATGTTACAGAATGACTGTGACCCACTTTATTTGTTTATTTTTTTCAATGAAAAGGCACATTTTGTATTGGTAAGACTGTGTGGAAGCTAACAACATTGACACTATATTTATAAAAAAACAAGTATTATACTTTAACCTATTTCCATTATTTTCCATGGTGTTGTCAGTCCACCAACCCTTTTAAAGACATGTCTTCAGTGTCACAAAACTGTTTACATGTACACAGAGCACTGGATTTTAACACATTGGGCAGCTACATACCTACATAAAGTAATAAAATAATACAAATTGTTCCTACATAGGCAATAGATGATTTATTGAACTGTTTATGTTGTCTATCGGTTGCTTTCTTAGTTATTTGTATTAGAAAGCATATCCTAAAGCAATACTAATTGTTCTGCTCTCCATGAACTCAATTGGCTAACCTTCCCTGTATGTTTTTTGCTCCTTGCAGACAAAGATCCTGATGCAGTGAAGGATGTGTCTAACCTGACCATCAACTTTGGCCCCCAGCATCCTGCAGCTCACGGCGTGCTGCGTCTAGTCCTGGAGCTCAGCGGAGAGTCCGTCAAGAAGTGTGACCCCCACATAGGCCTGCTTCACCGTGGCACAGAGAAGCTCATTGAGTACAAGACCTACCTGCAGGTACTCAACCACTGATGATATCTGTAATTAGTTTTTACCCTTATAAACGTCTAAGGTAGTGGGTTGAAGAGCACATTTAGTATGTTGGATGTTGATCTGTGCTATTTGGTTTTTAGCCAGTCTAAGGACAGAACATTGCATCAGAACCCATTGCAAAAATGATGTTTTTTTGCAATGTACACGACCACATCCTCTGGAGATTGAGTTGTGTTTACTTGGTAAAACGTAGCTGGTGCCCGAGCAAAGGAACACCCCCTCACTTTAAAAGGAAAATATTCAACTTCTCACCTCAACAGTCTTGATTAACAGACCTTTCTCATGTGTCATTTGTCCCGCAATTGTTTTAGAATTCCCTTAACCGAAGCGCTTCTTCTTTTTTGACCACAGGCTCTGCCCTACTTTGACCGCCTGGACTATGTTTCCATGATGTGTAACGAGGAGGCCTACTCTCTGGCTGTGGAGAAGCTGCTCAACATCCAGGCCCCCCCCCGTGCACAGTGGATCAGAGGTTCGGACTGGCAGTGTCTGCTGATTCTGCAAAGGCTATAGATTTGAAATCAAATAATTGAAGGCCTAAAAATACCGTGAATATATATTTTTAGTGGACCTATTTTTTCCATTTATAACAGGCTGTTGAATTAGACGTTAAATGTTATAGTGCTATAACTGAAATTCAGAATAAACAAATACTACTGATTTGAAAGGGATTCTGCTTTCGACAGATATAATGCATTAGAATTACACAAACACCAATTATTGTTAATTAATAATCCTAACCCCCGGTGTTCCTACAATCTTGTATCTGTCAGTTGCGGTCAATGGTCATAGTTCTACATCCAATGATAATGGTTAATAGAATATTCAAATGTTTACAGGGTTACATTTTAAAAGCATTTTTCTGTCCAAAACCTAAAGAGAGAAGAACTATATTGCAAATCTTCTCACTTGATCGGCTAGGAACACGTGAAATGTTGTTACATTTGTTTGACAAATGACTTAAAATCAATAATTGATTTAAAATTTTTTTTTAAATGACCTATTTATTTCTTGTCAATAGTCCTAAATGGTTTGTTGTGTTTTTGTTTTGCAGTTCTGTACGGAGAGCTGACCCGCATCCTGAACCACATCATGGCCATCACTACGCACGCCCTTGACATTGGTGCCATGACCCCCTTCTTCTGGTTGTTCGAGGAGCGAGAGAAGGTCAGAAACATTGTTTATTCTGTATTGCACTTGCTTGCAACATTCTTAAAAAATCAATACCATTTGGCAAGTGAGACTAGGGATGGGTACCGAGCCCCGGTATTAAACGGCCCCGGGGCTGAATTGTTAAAGACCGTGGTACCGTTAAGCTCCGACGTTAGCGGCCTTTTTATCGGTACTGGAGACATGCAAAAAACATGTCATATGTATTATTGCTACACAAACATTATATTGCAGTTTTAGTGTCGCCAAAAAGACTGCAAAATGCATCCATGATTATTTTTAGTGTTTTCGATCTCTCTCTCCCGCCTGCTTGCGAGGGGGCGGGGCAGTTTACACACACACAACACACACACACATGGAGGAGATGGCGGAGAGAACGCGCTCCGAGGTGTGGTTAAACTTTACCCGGCTCGTTGCCAAAAGTGCAATAAGAGTTTATCATGTAAGGGCGATAACACGAGCAATTTGTTTAAACATTTAGCAAAAGTGCTCCACATTCAGACGGAGGAATGCACCGGGTTCGACTGTCTTTCTAGCAGCTCTGTAGCCCCATCCACGAGTAACGTTTCCACGTCAGGTGTTATGTATGCTAGCAGCAACACACGGAGTTAACTACATTATACAAACATGGGTTAATGATTAGAGGTAACAGAGTTATTTATTTTGTTAAAGTTTCAGCTATTCTGTTTACAGTCTGTCATCAGATTATTTACGATTTGTTAAAACATTGTTGTTTCTTTTGATGTGAAATAGCCTATTATGTATTTAATTTAAATAAAAAGCAATGTTAGTTTTGTTCACAATTTGTTTAGTTAGTTTACCTTGTTTTTTTTCTCCAAAAGAACCGATAAGAGTACCGTTAAAAGACCGGACCGATAAGCGGTATCGATAAAAGTAGTAGTACCGTTAAAACCTTAACGATACCCATCCCCACGTGAGACACGCATTACCATAAAGTTCCTCAAAAGAAGAAATCAAGTTACTGAAAAACATTCAAGTTGGAGTAAACGGAACATCTGTGACCCATAGAAGTG